TGGTCGAAGCCAGGGCCTCTCCCACCCTGGGGGATGGGCCTTCGTAGAATCACTGGAACTGGCGATCATTGCTCAACCAAACATTATTTCGGCTGAGAGTGTGGACGAGATCGTCTTTCACCCGCACTCATCTTCATCCAAGAAATTCTCCAAGGAGTTGGCTACATCAGAGTATTCAGCCAGAATGTGAACCACCACCTTGTGTCTAACCACATGCGCACTCGGTGGTTAGCTACTTGGGTCAGACAAGATCTTTCCCCCATTGTGTTTGACGCCAGGTTCACAATCCAGGCCATTCCTCGAAAGCCATGGCACTCAGAGTGCTATTCATTCGGCATCCCACAAGTATGGGAACGCCAGTTGAAACTGGTAGACTCCGAACTGGATATCTATGGAGATGAAAAGCTTTTGCCCAATGCCAAGCGCAAGTGTTTGCCGAAAGAGTTCACACCAGCCCAAGTGTTGGAACTTCGATTTCCCAAGACAAATGAAGCCCTTCCAACATTGTGTGCCTCATACACCTCACAGCATGAGTTAGCCATGCATCACCTTGAGGACAAAGGAATTTTTGCCTTCTTGGAGGACCACCAGAGGGGCATTTCTTTCTTTGACCCCCTTCGGTTTTGCTCACTTTTTGGTGCATGCGAGGTTGTTGTTCTCCCCAGTCGCCTTCAGGAAGCTTTTCGTGGGGTTGGCAACGCCATTACTGTCCAACATGCTCTTTTGGCAATTGTGTTGGGATTGCAAGCAGTCACTAAACAAAGTCTCAACCTTTCCATGCTCATTCAGCAATCTTGGGAGAGCCGTTTGATCAACTCGAACTCGGTCGTTTTCCTCGATGGTGATTTTGTTTTCTTCGCCCCAGTCGAACATGCATTAAGGTCGTTTGTGACTCCGCAGCCACCTGTCACCATGTCAGGCGAAGTAGAAGTGTCCCTTGCAATTCCGCAATGCTGGTGCTCCTCCTCTGTCCGGGTCAGTGGAGACACTAGTCTCGAATCCGTCTTTCGCCAGTGCTTGAAAGGGCCAGCTGATTTGATTCGTCAAATCAAGGTCAAGGAGTCAGGCAAAGCAGAAGGTTCACCATCGCCAGTTGCAAAGATGGTCAACATGAACAAAGACAAGCAAGTCCATATCAATGGTGTCCCAATAGGGTCTGTCTCAGCACATGCCATCTCGCAAGAAACCATTACCAGTGCGGCACCGATTGCTGAGGTGATCATTTCTCCTACGGCTCCCTTTGAAGCTGCGAGTCTGATCGACCCTGAAGTGCCTCGTGAGATTGTCATCTTCGACATGCCCTTTGAGGAGATTGTGCTCACCAAAGAGTTTAGAATCTTCTTGTCAGCCATTGAGAGAGCTCAGAGTGGTATGATAACCAGACCATGTCAAGTCAAGGTTTTGTGCCCTGACGTGACAACCACCCTGGTTGCATTCGTTGATGTGTGGCAAGTCACTTCATTCAAGCTTCAGCTTCAGCATTTGACCCAGGCATATCAAGGCAAGATCTTTTCAGTGGACAACACTGCAACCACTGGGTCTTCGGACCACCTGGTGCTCCAGACTTGTTGTAACCACCTGAAAGGCCCAGTCGTATTTCTGGAATCCGAATGTGTCGATCTTCTTGCTGTACGATGCTGTGACAAGCTCTCCATTGACACCGTGTTCCATTTACATAACAACCCGCTGGCTATCTCTACAGTCAATGGCTCCGTGATGGAAAACCCTTGGGTGACAATGAAAGATGGGGATCGAATTTTCCTCAAGCCTTCACCAGACATTCGTGCAGGAGGCCACCATGGCTACAAGGGCATTCCCATGACCCTGAATGCAGGTGCTTCGTTCATACAACGTGCAGCATATGCAACAGACTCTCATGGCTGGTTAGCCACAGATGAGCTCCATTACATCTGCAAGATGATCCAGGAGGCCGGAGACAACACCATGGTCTTTTCCCCTTTGGTGTATTGGGATGTCAATCAAGATGACATTGAAGAAAGCCCATTTGGGGACCTGCACATTGATCCGAATGTCAAGACGATTATTCCCATTCTCCACCAAGCGCATTGGGGTGCTGTCGAGGTCGAAAGGTTTGACAATCGCGCTCATGTCAACATCTGTCAGATTGCTCAGCGCTTCCATGACAGATTGGTCCGCATCTTGGCGAGGCGCCTCGACTTGGGTCACCACAAGATTGTTGTCCATGTTGACTTCAATGTGCCACCTCCGCATTTATGTGGATGGGTGCTGATCAACAAGTGGATCACAGAAGCCCAAGCCATTCCATGGTTGCCTGATGTTGCGCAAGCCCTTGGTCCGCGCCCTCAAGCAATCCAAGACACCATCGACCTTGTTATCAATGCGTCCCTGGAAAACTGGAGAGATGCTAGGGCCACTCCAACAGTTGCCCTCATTGCCGCCAAGCTTCGACGGGATTTCCTTTGTGCCTTATACCAAGATGAAGTCCAAGGATTGCCAATTGTTCAGCATGAAATCATTTCTGCCTTCCCGTTCTACTATGTGCAGCCACCTCTTGGCCCGCAGATCATCATGCTGACGACACATACTATGCCTTTCAACATTGAGGAGAAAATTCAGGAACGCTTTTCCCACCTCTTTCTGCATAAAGGGTGGATGGCATCAGATGAATTTGACTTC